GAGAGAGAGAAAGAAAGAAAGAAAGAAAGAAAGAAAGAAAGAAAGAAAGAAAGAAAGAAAGAAAGAAAGAAAGAAAGAAAGAAAGAAAGCTTGCTTAGAAAATTTTCGGTAATTTGAATAAGATATTTTGATATAAATTGCTTAGTAGAAAATAAAATTTGTAAAAGTATGATAATTCATTAATCTTTCCAAATTTTGAAATTATGAACCCTCTTCTTGAAGTTTTATTTTAAGAATGGAAGTTGGGTTATTTAGAACTAGGCCTTATTAAGATTGGAGGGCAAATAATTCTTCCACTGTGGATGGCTGACTGTATGGTATGTTTAACATTGTTAATCTCGACTGGACCTGCCTGGACTGAGTCTACCAGGTTGATCTAAGTCCTCAGGGGAGGCTTTGCCCTGGAGGAGGTGGGAATGGGGGGTGGGCTGGGGGGAAGGGGAGGGGGGAGGAGGGGGGAGAACAAGGGAATCTGTGGCTGATATGTAGAACTGAATGGTATTGTAAAATAAAATAAAAGGAAAAAAAACATTATTAGTCTCTGCCCAACCAAAGAACAGTGGATTCCTACCCCAGTTCCAACAACTAAAAATGTGTCTAGACATTATCAAATGTCCCCTGGAGAAGTTGAAACTCACTAGTTAATCCATCCTCCTATTGAAATCATACTAATGTCATCTGTATGGTGATGCAGGTCCAACCTAGGACCTTCAGTATATCAGACAAGCTTGCTCCCAGATTCCTGGAAATGAAGAATTACTTTTAAATACAACCACTTAAAGAAGTGAACTTTCAAGATAATGAGGAACTATGATCAGAATGCTAGATGAAGCAACAAAACTCATTACTCACTTCTCTAACAAACAGAACACCAAATACATCAACCAACTTTTCCTTAAATACGTTTTCCCATTGACAACTTTAAGCCTCAATCCTGCAACACAGAATAAAAGGCATTTAGAAGTCAAAGCTCAACTAAAACGAAAGGACGAAGAGGAAATCCTCTTCACATTAAGCTGGACTTCGAAAGACTAAATACCTAGACTAGCATCCTGAGTTCTGCCGCCAGAGCCCCGGGAAGGGGGAAAGAGAGAACCAGTTCCACAGATAGCCCTCTAACTTCAGCACAAGCACTGTGTGTGACCACCTCCCCACCCCACCCCACACACATATCATCATGTACACACCACAATAATACTAACTGACAAATAAAACTGAAAGATTAGAACTAGACTGAGCCTGCCCCACATCCTATACCTATTTCCATAGGGTTTAAACAAAGGCTGTTCAGAAACAAGAAGAGGGAAATTTTTTGTAAACTTTTTTAAAGATTTTATTCAATTTTTTATAAATATTTTTATTTTATAATTAATTTAATTTTACATATCAGCCATGGATTCTCCTCTCCTCCTCCTCCCACCCCTCAACCTTCCCCCCAATCCACCCCCCATTCCCACCTCCTCCAAGGCAAGGTTTCCCCTGGGGAGTCAGCCCAGCCTGGTAGGTTCGTTGAGGCAGGTGCAGTCCCCTCCTCCCTGCACCAAGGCTGAGCAAAGTGTCTCAGCATAGGCCCTAGGTTCCAAAAAGCCAGCTCATGCACCAAGGACAGGTCCCGGTCCCACTGCCTGGGGGCCTCCTAAACAGTTCAAGTTCATCAACTGTCTCACTTATCCAGAGGGCCCAGTCCAGTTCCATGGGGGCTAGAAGAGGAAATTCTTTTAAGAGAGAGAACAATAGTGACCTTTGTCTTAGCATTCATAGGCATTTGCTGGCCAGGTTCTCATCACCTAGGTGCTAAGTTAGGATGCTGGCTAATAACCAAAGTGCCAGCAAAAGCAAATGCAAATTCTTCCCAAAAGAAGCTCTTTACTAGTCAGGCGGTGGTGGCACATGCCTTTTATCCCAGCACTCGGGAGGCAGAGGCAGGCAGATCTTTGTGAGTTCGAGGCCAGTGTGGTCTAGAGAGCGAGATCCAGGAAAGGCGCAAAGCTACACAGAGAAACCCTGTCTCGAAAAACCAAAAAATAAAAATTTAAATAAATAAATAAGTAAGTAAATAAATAAGTAAATGAAGAAGCTCTTTACTATCAGCCTTCAAAATGCATCAGGTAGTGTTGCAAGGGCCTTGAGAAAAATAAGCTTCCAAAGACATGCAGCATCAGGGATTCAGACGGTCATAAATAAAAGACAACTGAAAGAGCCCAAATGCTAGAGTTATCGTATAAAACTATGCTTACTATCATTTTAAATGCCACACAAGGATAGAAAACTATAAAAGTGAAAAAGCAATTTGAAAAAGATCCAAATGAAATTTCTAGAAATGGAAAATATAATCACCAAAATTTAAAACTCAATATATTTCTTTAGCTGCAGATTAAACCCAGAGAAAGAAAATGAATGAAGTGGGGGATCGAGCAGAAGAAACTGCAGAAAACAACCTAGGGCCAGCAAGCAGAGAAGGGTGAGAAAAATATTATAGACAGTTATTCTCGGTTCCAGGAAGATTACGGGAGGAAGCGCTAACACAGTTTATCAATGGTAACTTACAGTTAAGACCACCTAGAAGCCAGGGGCTTCTTACGGTGGCTTCCAGCTGTGAAGCGGTCTTGCTCTACCCGTGCTGGTCACACTGCTGCCACGTCAGCTGATGGACATGCACTGTCTGTAAGAAAAGGAGTTGAGTTCGCTGTTGAGATGACTTTGAGAACGATATATTAGCATTGGAAAATGACTGTTGTAGAGCATTTTGTGTCCTACAAGAGAACGTCAAGGTCTGGGTACTTTTGAAAGAAAAGAAACATTTCTTACAAGTCTGGAGTTGCAACAAATGAAGCGGAGACCTGCCCTGGACAGGGGGAAGGCTGTGGTCATCTAACAGCCGTGGAAGAGAAGAATGAGAGAGCTCAAGACAGGGACGGGACAAAAGGAAGCCAAACTCACTTCATGTTGTTGTACTGGAGTTGGCTCTGTAGACTAGCCTGGCCTTTAACTCACAGAGATCCTCCTGCCTCTGCCTCCTGAGTACTGAGACTAAAGGTAGGCACCACCATGCTTACCCAGACTCACTTTTATAACAGTCTTATTCTCTTGGTACCAACCAATTTCCTAGATAATGACACTAATCCATTCACGAAGGCAGGACCCTCATGACCTAGTCAACTCCCAAGTATTCTACCTCTTAACACAAAGACTAGAGGTTGAGTACCAACACACAAATGTTAGGAGGCACATTCAATTTGTTGCAATAACTTAGAAAAGCTATTATAGCTTAGAAAAGTTTGTTTAAATTGTGTATAGAGAGGCTGGAGGGATGGCTCAAGGGTTAAGAGTGCTTGCTGCTCTTACAGATGACCCAGGTTCAATTCCCAGCACCTACATGGTAGTTCACAACCATCTGTAACACCAGTTCCAGGAAATAAGCTACCTCTGCTGACCTCCTATCGCTGCATGTGCATGTGCACATACGTACACTCAGAAACACACACATACACATAAAAACAAGTAATTTTTAAAAATAGAGTGTATGTAGAGGGGCATCCATACTGACTTATAGAAGCAAATTCATAATTGAAATAATCACCACAATAAAGTGGTTACATTCCCACAAATTGACAACTAGTATCTACAGGATCCAATAAGGAAAAACTTAAATATATGAAACTATGCTATTCTTTCTTGCTTATGTCAAACAGTATAACTGAGAAAATGTTTATTTTGGGGAAAATCACAGATTTAAAAGCATCCAGAATCCATATGAAACAATTCATGCGTGCTATGTTACTGGACTAAGGGAGCAGTCCAGTAGTAGCTCAAGGCCCTGCATTTGAACCCAACATTGAAAGAAAAAAAGACAGTAATGCTAGCTAGTACTGAAACATTTGTAGTATTTTCCTTTTATTGGTATATAAATGGTATACATACAACTGATACTATCAATAGATTTGGATAAGTAGAGATGAATAAATAGATGGATGGATATGTAGATAGATGATAGATAGATAGATGATAGATAGATAGATAGATAGATAGATAGATAGATAGATAGATAGAT